ATAAATTAGGGGCTATGGTATACAGAATAATGATGCCCTAAAGAGTTCTACCTCCTCATCCCTAGAACCTATGAATATTTTATCTTAAAGGCAAAAGGGACTTTGCAGGTATGATTAAGTTAAGGATCTTTAGCTGGGGCGATTATTCTGGATTATCCATATATATCCAAAGTAACCATGAGTTTTTGAAATTGAAAGAGAGAGGCAAAATAGTGGGCCAAAAAGATCATATGAAAGATGGAGGAGGAGAAATATGAAATGAGGAAGCAACCGGACTTGCCATTGTGGGTTTTGAAGATGGAGAAACGGGTGTATGAGACACGCAATGTGGATGACCTTAAGAAGCTGGAAACATCCCTTAGACAGTAAGCAAGAAAGTGGGGGTCTCAGCCCCACCACCACCAGGAACTGAATTCTGCCAGCAACTCAAATGAGCAAGGCAGATTCTTCCCTAGAACCTCCAGAAAGGAGCACAGTCTGCTGATACCTTGGTTTTAGCCTGGTGAGAGCTAAGACTCTGGACCAGACTTCTTACCTACAGAACTGTAAGATGACAAATCTGTGTCATTTTAATCCACCACATTTATGGTTATTGGTTAAGGCAGCAACAGGAAAATACTATAGGGAGTGGGGGTCTTTACATGCTCACCCTATTTGGGCAGTCTAAGTTACTGAGACAAGTTCATGTGAGGGAGGGTTTAGCATTTACACACCAGTTGTGTATAGGTTAGGGGGTGAGAGCACAAATATAAGGATCAGGAGCCATTTCTGAGATAAATAGTGAGTGATCCTACTCAAAGTACTATCAAATCCAGGTCTTTGTCTTCCTTTACTCCAACTCTTCTTCATTTCCCTGCCCCAGTCTAATTTTCTAACTTATTTATTAACTTATTTAACAAATCTTATAAGGCCTTAGGGATCCAAGGAAATAATATTCAGTATTATTCTCAAGGAGATCATAACCTTATAAATGCAACAGTGTACCAACAATTTACATTGTACAGCAAAAGACTTGACAAAGTACTTTCATCTGCATTCCCACTTAACCCATAAGGCCTCTACCTATGTGGGACACTAATTGTACTGTGGACTCTAGTGTGTTGGTTGGGGGAGGGAATTCTGCTCTGCTAAGCTTTAGCTAGTTAAGTATGTAAAATATAAACATGACCACAAATGAGATGTATTTTACCATAAAAGCCAAGAATTCAAAATTAAAATATCTTCTAAATGAGATTCAAAATGCATTAAAGAAAGTGAAATTAATCTAGAAATGCTATTAGCACTCAGCACTTACTAATCTAAACTCTAAATGAAACTTTTCTATCCTGTAAGCTGTCAATATGCAAAACAGCTTTTAAATTTCCCCAAGACTGTGAGTAAAACCCCACGAAGGGATGGGATGTGCATTCATCACACAACTATTGCACAGCAGACAGTATGGCATGCTTTGCTGGGCTTTCCTCACTCCCGTCAGAACAGCATCAGCAGTCACTCATCTCTTAGACAAAGTCCTGAGGAAATGGATGCTCAGAAAGAGTAAAGGTGCTGACTCAATAAAAGAGAAGTATTCAAGGAAGAGTAACGATAAACCAATAAAAATGTTATCAGTGGGACAAACTGAGCAAAGAAACAAATCAGTCAAAGGTACACCATATGCTATATTAATACTCTATTACTTCTCTAACACATTGCCACAAACTATGTGGCTTAAAATGATACAAATTTGCTGTCTTACAGTTCTGGATACAAGAAGTCCAATATTGGCAAGGTTGGTTCCTTCTGGAGGCTCTACGGTAAAATTTGTTTCCATCTTTTTGCAGTTTCTAGAGGGTGCCTGCTTTCTTTGGCTCATAGCCCCTCCCTCTGTCTTCAAATCCAACACAGTAGCACCTCCTTTCTCTGACCCTTTCCTGCCTACCTTTTTAAAAGGCCCTTTTGATTGCATAGGTCCCACTCAGAAAATCCAGAATAGTCTCCCATTTCAAAATTCTTAATCATACCGCCTAAGTCCCTTTTGCCATAGAGTATTCCCCACCTTATTCTCAAGGGAGATAAGACCCCCAGTGGATGCCTGAAACCAAGGATAATAGTGAACCCTATATACACTGTTTTTTCCTATATATACATACTTATAATAAAATTTAATTTATAAATTAGGCAGAGTAATAGATTATCAACAATAACTAATAATAAAACAGAACAATTTTAACAATATGCTAACATCAGTACTCTTGTACATTGGGGACATTATTAAGTAAAATAAGGGTTACTTGACCACAAGCACTGCAATACCTTGATAGTACATCTGATGATGGAGACAGCTACTAAGTGACTAATGGGCTTGTAGTGTCTACGGCATGGGTTTCACTAGACAAATGGATGACTCACACCCAGGTGGCACAGAGTAGGATAGTGTGGCTTTCACCACACTAATCAGAACAGCATTTAAACTTACAAATTGTTTCTTTCTGGAATTTTTCATTTAATACTTCCAGACCTGTGATTGACTATGGGTAGCTGAAACTGTGGAAAGGAAAACTTCAGATAAGGGAGGATTACTGTATAAGTAACATATTAACATGTTCTGAGAGTTATAAAGTAGAAATCTTCTGGGGAGGGGGACACTCAGTTTACCCCATAAAGGAAGACAGAGTTGAGCTAAGAACAAGGAAGTACAGACAGAAATGGAAATCAGAAGAAATTAGGCTGGGTCAAAAACTTGTTGAAATGCCTAGGCACATCTGAGAGTGAGTATTATTGTCTCCCAAATATGCTCCATACTACAATATATGTAGTTGTTAGAATTTAGTGAGCTTTCTACGTAGAGGTGAGTAAATGAAGGCTAGTGAAGCAATACATCTAAACTTATTTTAAAAGACAGCTGACTGGAGCTGTCACTCTAAAAGGAACAAATCCAGAGACAGGACCTAAAAAAATCAAGCTAGGTCAAGCACAAACTCTTTATCCAAAGCTAGGGCAAAAGCAGTGCATTCAACAGGCCTAGACACAACTCTCCCACCACTGGCATTCATATTGCTGCTCATTAACTGCTTTCAAATTTATCTTAGCCCATTGTAGAAGATTTTGCTCCCAAATAATTACCTTAAAAGCTTTAAGTATCTCCTGAGGGAAGAACCCTACAGCCAGCTGTCTCAGCACTATAAAATAAAATAATCAGGAGAAGTAAGAACCACTGATGGCTCATAAAAGCTTTGAGTTACCTGAATTCTCAAGGCCATGCCATTTATAAGGTCTAAAAAGCTTAGCAGGCTATTGCTATGAAATGTAAGTGTGAAAAAGAACATCATCAGTGTCTGAGACAGAGGAACTTAAGGCATATGACACAAGGAAAGGATCCCTCTTCATCTCACACTCTATTACCACAGGTACCTAACTGATCTCTTTGCCTTCAGTCTTGCCTCACTGAATTCATCTGTCTCAATGCCAAGGTTATCTTTCTGAAATGCACATCTGCTCAGCTTGCTTTCCATCTTAACCTCTGATAATCCTTATAATATGTGGAATAAAGCACATACTGTTTAACATATGAAGTTCTAAAAGTGAGGCTTTTATCTACCTTTATGATTTTATCCCCTACTTCTCCTTTCCATGTGTTAAACACTTTTGTCAAAATGGATGTCTACTTAAGACACTTCTCAGTTTTTTTTTTTTTTTTTTTTTTTTTGAGACGGAGTTTTACTCATGTTACCCAGGCTGGAGTGCAATGGCGCGATCTCGGCTCACCGCAACCTCCGCCTCCTGGGTTCAGGCAATTCTCCTGCCTCAGTCTCCTGAGTAGCTGGCATTACAGGCACGCACCACCATGCCCGGCTAATATTTTGTATTTTCAGTAGAGACGGGGTTTCACCATGTTGACCAGGGTGGTCTCGAGCTCTTGACCTCGTGATCCACCCGCCTCGGCCTCCCAAAGTGCTGGGATTACAGGCTTGAGCCACTGCGCCCGGTCCACTTCTCACTTTTATCTGTCGTTGCATATGCTACTCCTTTGGCCTGAACAAAGGACCTGTTCATTCAATGGCCATCCAATTCAAACGCCAATCACTCAGCAAAGCCTTCTGAAAGTAGTTCAGTAAAATTTTAAGTTCTCTTCTCTCCATGCTGTGCTCCCATTGCTAACATAGAGGCATAGAGAAAAGGTTCTCTGTATATTATAAACTTGAACCCAAGCCATGCCAAAATTACTTTCCAAGGTGTTCCCATCAGGTCAGAGCACAGCAGGGGCTTCTAGGGAAGTTGTTCTTAGTATGTGACACCCATCAGAATCAACTACAAAACTTTGTACAAGAAAAAAAAATTCCAAAGACTTGCCCCAGAATTAAAATTTATGGCTACAGACCTAGAAGGCTTGCAGGTTTTTAATAGGCTTCACAGTTGGTTTTGATGAAGAAGAGGGAATGAAGATCCTCAACCAGGCTGATGTTACAATATCACTGGTAACTGGGAATGTGAATTCAGAGCCACAAAAGAAAGTCTAAGCTAGGGCTGGGCACGGTGGCTAATGCCTGTAATCCCAGCACTTTGGGAGGCTGAGGTAGGCGGATTATTTGAGGTCAGGAGCTAGAGACCAGCCTGGCCAACATGGTGAAACTCTGTCTCTATTAAGAATACAAAAATTAGCCAGGTGTGGTGGTACATGCCTGTAATCCCAGGTACACAGAAGGCTGAGGCAGGGGAATCTCTTGAACCCAGTGAGCCAAGATTGCCTCACTGCACTCCAGCCTGGGCAACAGAGTGAGACTCTGCCTCCAAAAAAAAAAAGAAAGAAAGAAAGAAAGATACAACCTAGAGCTAAGCAGACATTCTGGGCCATAGCTACATAGGTTGGGACCCAAGGCAGGAGAGGGCGGTAGTCAAGAAGCCAAGGTAAAAGTTCTTCGATTTGGATCAAGAGAACATCAGAATTGGAGGAAAGCTACGACTCAGTGAGGAATCTGTTATACTGGGTCTGACTAAAAAACAAGACAAATTGTAGAACTCACCAAATGGAGGTTTCTCAAACATCGATATTGCATCACCAGGAAACTTGTCCGAAAAGCGTCTTGGGCCCCATCTCAAACCTAATGAATAAGAGTCTTTGTTATAAAGAGATCCCAGGTGATTCAAAGTCCACATTAGTGTCTGAGAAGCACCTAAGCCTAGTTCTGGATGATGCCAATGCTGCTGGTCTCTGGGCTGCACTATGAGGAGCAAGAATCTTGACCAACAACTGAGCCAGGTAAAAGAAATTCAAGTATTACCACTGTGAGTAATTTGAAGACAAGAACCTCTATCAGTCTACCTTCTTTCAGCTTTAGCAGAAGGCCTTGAAAAGTGAAAATATAGTCTATTGTTTGAAAATTGAGTACCTAAAGCTGGTTCAATTCCAGCTTCCACTCACCAGCTGTGTCATGCTGTCAAGTTACTTAACTTGTTTAGGCTTCAATTTCTCACATGGTATAGAGGGATTAAGGCCTTTCAAGAATGAGAGGAAGTCAGGAGTTCAAGACCAGCCTAGCCAACATGGTGAAATCCTGTCTCTACTAAAAGAATACAAACATTAGCCAGGTGTGGTGGTGCACACCTGTAATCCCAGGTACACGGGAGGCTGGGGCAGGGGAATCTGTTGAACCCAGGAGGCAGAGGTTGCAGTGAGCCAAGATTGCCTCACTGCACTGCAGCCTAGGTGACAGAGCCAACCATGTTATTTTTGTTAATATTATAAGTGCTCAGTAGGTGTTGAAAAAAATAATTCATAGATAGTCAATTAAAAAAAATTTTTTTGAGACGGAGTCTTGCTCTGTTTTCTAGAATACAGTGGCACAATAGACTCACTGCAGCCTCCGCTTCCCAGGTTTAAGCAATTTTCCTACCTACCTCAGCCTCCTGAATGACTGGCACTACAGGTCTGCAACCCCATGCCTGGCTAATTTTTATATTTTTAGTAGAGTTGGTGTTTCACCACTTTGGCCAGGCAGGTCTCAAACTCCTGGCCTCAAGTGAAACACACATCTGATCAGCTCGCTTTCCATTTTCATGTCAGTCTCTTAAAGTGCTGGGATTATAGGTGCGAGCCATCACACCCAGCTGATCAGTCAATTATTGATTGATTGATATGTCAATTGACTTTTAGTGAGGAAAAGAGCTCCAAAATTCTAGTCGTATAAATGATTTCAATCTGACTCATACAATCTATAATAAAAAAAATGGCTGAAATCTTAGTAATTAGCAGACAGTTCATGCATAAGACTTCTTATAATATTAATATGCAAGTGTATCTTAAGTTATGGGAAGAAGAACTCTCTAAAGCATTATGATTGCTAACCTTTTTGGAGTGGTAATACCAAATTGATTTTATAAGACTTCAAAATGCTCTTATTCGCCCCCAAATGCCTAAGAATACTTTTTCCCCTCATGGCTTATTTTTTATTTAATTAAATTTAAATTGATTTGCTTGAGAACATTTTGACATTTTAGCATTATAGAGTGTTACAAATGGATGGCAATACCTGCTATAATGAATAACACAGGTTCGAAGAAATACATTTAGTTTTATGTTAAATAAAACTGCCTTGTTTTTATCTAGTGCTGTATAATCATCAAAAAACTTTACTCTTACCTGTAACAACTCCATGGCTGTTTTGTGGCAAAAGCAGGAATAGAACTCAAGTTTCTTAATTCCCAACCATTTCTTTCTTTCTTTCTTTTTGAAAAAAAGAACTTTATTTAACTACCATCAGCACCACTACCACCAGATGATTGGATTGCCACATGTTACCCATACATGGATGCTAACCTGGATCCAAACCCAAGTCAAAGCCAGGTCACCTACTCAGCTCCCTAGTATCCTAATTCTGCTCCAATCAAGCACCATTTTCAGAAAATATGTTCTACGTATCACACAGGCAATAGCTTCCTCAACATTTATGAAAAAGTTTTTTCTTTTCTTGAAGTAACTTTTTAGTTCTAGAAATTAGAAGTCAAATTTGGAGATGTGACACAATTTTTAATTTAGAATTGTTCAAATGTTCAAATGTATGGTAAATGTAACTTTTAGAAATTTGACCCTTGTTTACTAAATATTACATTTGCTTATAAGGCTTCTCAACTCAACTTTCTTGTAGAAAATGCTCTAACCTCTAAGAGACGGTTTTTACAAAGTATTACTATGTATTCCAATGTTGGATACCAATTTTTATTAAGCATTCTAACTCCTGGATTTTGAAAATGAGCATAAATCTTAGACTGATGAATGATAATGCAGTGAGATTTTATTAGTAAATATTAATATTTAAGTTCTCAACAATACCCTATACAATTTACCAAGCAGCATGTTCTTCTTTTTAAAAATCACTTAAAGATTTCAAGTTACTTATTAAACTTTAGAAATGATACTGTGACATGTTTTCTGAAACCTAGTATATGTTTTTAAAGTACTGCTAATGGGCTGGGTAATCCATTAAAGTTACATAATTATGACAGAACAACCTTAGCATCATTAAGGAAAAACTGACAACTCCAAACTGACAAGTGTAAGAAATTCCAAAGTTGCGCTGACAATTTGGATCTACTGCCTTTCATGCCCAGATTTACTTAATATCTCATTTGATTTTCAAACCTTCCCTCAGAAGCAATTGGAACAAAACCATGAGCAAGCTCAATCTCCATTTGGGCATGTAACCCTTTTACAAACACAATTACAGCCAAACACTATTGTAACCTGATTTGCATTTGCACTAACTAAGTTACAAAGCACATTGAGGATGCCTGCTATGCATACTACAGACTTGTTAGGAGGATATATTGCAGGGCTTCTGTGAACACTAATTAAAAAGGTTTTATCTTTCCCCTCTGGTCCACTGAAATTGTTCAAATGCCTTGCCTGCTACAACTTTGTTCAAAAACAGTTTTCAAACATGTGATCAGAGCTAGGCAACTATTTCAGGTGGCATGATTCTGTTTCCACGGTGGACAAGGCCCTAGAGACAAAGTTTCAGTCTAAACTTTGAGCTTCCTTTCCTTTGTTATTTTGTGTTGCAACCTTAGCATTATCCAACTGTGGACTTTTATCTGTGAATATCTAAATCCTGTCTTGTGGAAAACTAATTACTGAACCACTGAGAGCTTCATAATGTCCTGCATTTAAGTCCTGAGCATCATACATAATGCATAGGCAGCAGTCTCTGCACTCTGATTACAGAACACTGTCATTAAGTGAGCAAATTAAAGATGTGAATAATTCACTGGCTGAGCTTATTGTCAGTGCTGCATTGTGAAATTAGAATTTCTAATAAGTACTGCAATTTTTTTAACCCAATTAACACAGAGAACATCTTGAGACTGATTAGTACAATAAAAATTATTACCTTATTCTTTTGCTTCACAACAGCCAAATTAAATACTGTACTTAATTATGCAGCATTCATGCCTTCTCTGCAAAAAAAAAAAAAAAAAAAAAAAAAAAAAACCCTATCATTTTAATAAGAGTTTTAATATTTGTATGTGAGCTAAAAATACAGCACAGGCATCTGTAGCTCACTGTCTTTTTGCAAAGTTTTTTTAAGAGTCTGAACATCAGTATTATCACCAGTGGTGGATTATGATGACACTAGTTTATTCTTAAACCAAATATTTTTCCTAAAAAACAAACAACATACACAGAATTGACAAAGTAACTAACCTCCCCAAATTGACTTGAATCTATTATACCTCTGCTTTATCTTGGCTTTTTAGATACACATTAACACAGATTTGCCCCCACTATACTGTTGGTGGTTGAAGCTGAAACATATATTTAAGAAATTAATTGATTAGGAAAAAGGCAAGTATCTGAAAACAGTGGGTCTTACCTCAGATGCTCATTTAGCACACAGGGATCTGTCTGACTCCTGCCAGGCAAGTGGGAAAGTCCAGTTTATGCTCGGCATGATGATCCTACGCAGAGAGTGTCTGCTGCCATGTTAAATAAAGAAAATGATCATTTAAACCGGGGCTTTTGTCTCCCAATATTTCCTCCTGCTGCCCCTTTCCCATCAAAGCTCAGAAAGGCAGGCACATCTGGCGGCAGTCCCTGCCCCTGACCGCAGCTGCCTCTGGAGAGCTCCCCCCTTCCTTTCCAGCTTCTCTGCAACCCTTGCTGGGCAACTTCATCCCCCTAAAATGGGGGAAAGAAACGATGACATTGCAGGCAGAATATGAGATTGTTCAGCCTCTGCAGCCACCTCCTTCCTGTCTAGATATTTTATGGGAAGGGAACGAGAAGGGGGAAACAGCGAAGGTGCTCTGAAAATCAGTCAGACACAATGCAATAGGGAGATGGAGAGGAGGGAAAGGAGAATGAGAAAGAGAGTGTGTGTGTGTAAGGGGGGTGGCTGTCAGTGTAGATAAATCTGCATATGGAAATTAGGGTTATCCTGGGTACAGTTTTATTTAACTATGATCTACTGTTTTTTTAATTAGACCAAATTTTAGCAAAGGAAAGGAAGGAAGAGTCTTGAAACCAGAGAGCAACTTCTAATTCAATAGACAAAAATTTCAGAGCAACTGCAAATAGCAGATCCAAAAGTTGTAGAAAAAAGAAAAGGAACAAAAAAAGGACATTTCTTCCCTTGTTTTGTTTAATAAACAAAGAGAAAGACTCCATCCTCACCACCAAAAATTAATAAATTAAATAAAAGGAAATTAGGATGAGAATGGAAAGGAATTTAAAGAAAGGAAAAAATATCTTTCATGATCTGCATAAAATTTCCTCTTAAATGCTACAACAATCAAGATAAAGGAATTTTCAAAAGAATATATGTATATTATATATATACACACTATATATATTGTATATATATAATACATATACACACAATTGGCATTACATGTGGAAACTAGTAACAATACATTCTGACATGTTAATATTAGAGATGTACCATATTTTTCCCTCCCTTAGAGAATTCCTGTTTTGCAACTCTAACCCATGGCAACATACTATGATCACATACCATAAACATTTGAGGAAGTCATGATACCAGCCAACTCTGCCTTATGGGATGCTGAGAGTAAAACAATGAGGCAGAATGACTAAAAGACTCCTGGAGGTTGGCTAGTGTGTCCAGCAACGAGTACTCTACCAGAGCTGCTGCCAGGATAGAGATCTGACTGGAAGGAATTGTGAATTAATTCTGTAAGCTGTGAGTGGTAAATTTGATGACATAGACCAATGTTAATTCACTTATCAAACATTTATTGAACACCTATCACATTGCAAACATTGTACTAGAAGCCGACATAAGATGAACACTGCATGGTTCCTGCTCTGAATAAGCCAGAGTTCAATGAGAAAAATAAATTAAAAATGAAGTTATATTGGCCAGGCACAGTGGCTTACACCTATAATCCCAGCGCTTTGGGAGGACAAGGTGGGTGAATCATGAGGTCAGGAGATCAAGATCGTGAAACCCCGTCTCTACTGAAAATACAAAAAAATTAGCCAGGCGTGGTGGCATGTGCCTGTAGTCCCACCTACTCGGGAGGCTGAGGCAGAAGAATCGCTTGAACCCAGGAGGAGGAGGAGGTTGCAGTGAGCCAAGATCATGCCACTACACTCCAGCCTGGGTGACAGAGCGAGACTCGTCTCAACAACAACAAGTGGTATTGCATGTCTATAAACAACAGAAGTAGTTGAGATAGTCTTGACTCAAGCAGTACAGGCACATGTCAGTACCCTTGAAAACTTTCCATCCACATGCACAGCTGGGTCCTTCAGACCAGCTCAAACACCTTAAGTAAGTTACTTTGTCCCTTTGAACCTTAGTTTCTTCAGCTGTAAAGTGACAATAATACTTGCTTTTTAAGGCTGGTAATGAAATAATGAAAGTGAAACATTACCTATGTCTGGCTTGTGACAATTGCTCAATAAAACTGGAATTACAAATCAGTTCTCAGTTCAAATGGCACCTCCTCTGGCAAACCTCCTCTGAAACCTTCAGCCATATCTGCTGACAGGTTCAGAGGCTTCTTCTGGAATGCTCTCACTGCTCTCCATTATATTATCTTAATGTGATTTTCAACAGGTCTATCTCTGTAGCAGTGGTTCTCAACTTGGGGCCATTTTGCTCTCCAGGAGACATTTGACAAAGTCTGGAGACATCATTGATAAGTGGAGGAAGGTTGCCATTGGCATGTAATAAGCAGAGGTCAAAGATGCTGCTAAACACCCTACAGATTTTGGCTTCTAATAAACGAACTTGGGGGTCCTTAGATGAAAGGCTGACTCTAAGACTGGAGCTTTATAAAATATACAAAATGGGCTTGGAGCATCTTGTAGTGTTAGAAAAAAGGAAGTGCTCAGAAAACAAAATAAAACCCACATTCTTAGGGGTATGTCAAAGGGACACAGGAACCATCGGAAAGGCCTCCTAATGTCTAAAGCTAGAACTATTTAAAAAACAAAATGCACAACATTATATTGGCTTACAACTCAAAGTATAATATAAATATCCATGAGTCTATACTAATATAAATAAATTACTGAAAAATAACCAATCAGAGGAGAAGAAACAAATCTTCCTTGCCAAATAATTCCAAATGATTTATATAAATAACTTCCCTCAAGGAGAGGGAGCATAATTCTCCATTCCTTAGTGTGGGCTGATTACTAACTTCCACAGTAGAAGGTGGGAGGGGAGTTGCATGGGGGAGTAACTTTACAGAAGAAACCTGGCAAACATTACCTCAGCCAGGTGATCAGAAGTTACATGCGTAAGTCATGTTGATACTACATGTGCCCTAAACCCAATCTAATCATGAGAAAAACGTCAGACAAATTCCAATAGAGGGGTATTTGATAAAACATCTGACCAGGACTTCTCAGAACTGCCAAGGAGCCAGGTGTGGTGCTTCATGCCTGTAATCCCAGCACTTTGGGAGGCTGAGGCAGAAGGATCACTTGAGCCCAGGAGTTCAGGACTGGCCTGGGCAACACGGCAAAACTGTGTCTCTATGAAAAACATAAAAGTTAGTGAGGCGTGGTTGCCCACGCCTGCTATCTTAGGTACTTGGGAGGCTGAGATGGGAAAATCACTTGAGACCAGGAGGTCGAGGCTGCAGTAAGCAGTGATCGCAGTGCTGCACTCCAGCCTGGTGACAGAGCAAGACTCCGTCTCTTAAAAAAAAAAAACAAAACCTGTTAAGGCCATCAAAAACAAAGTGTGAGAAATTATAGCCAAAAGGAGTCTAAGGAGATATGAACACCAAATGTAATATATGGGACCCTTGAACAGAAAAAGGAATTTAGGTAAAAACTAAGGTAATCTGAATAAAGCATAGAATGTGTTAATAATAATATACCAATTGATTGGTCCTTTAATTGTAACAAATGTACCATATTAATGTAAGATGTTAATAATAAAGGAAACTGAGTGTAGGGTATATATGAACTGCATATGTTTGCAATGTTTTTATAAATCTAAAACTATTCTAAAAATAAAGAGTATTTGATAAAAAGAGTCAGTAGTGCAAAAGTTAAAAACCTCTGCCCTGTACTATCCTATAAGTTTCTTAAAGGCAGAGTCTTTGTGGTTTTATTGTATATGTGTATAGGCTTACTTTGGTCATTAGTCCTCAAAGACGACCCTACAATGAACCATGCCTCTCAGAATTCATACTCTTGTGTATTCCCCTCCACTTGAATCTGGCTTGGTCCTGTGTGACTTGCTTTTGACTAGCAGAGTGCAGCAGAAGTGACACTGTGTGACTCCTGAGCCAAGATAAGAAGTGTTGTAGTTTCTACCTAGGTCTCATTCTGGGAAAGCCAGCCATCATGTAAGAAGTGTGAACACACTGAAATCCCCATACTATTAAAAAGCCAAGCTACCACATGGAGAACACTATGGAGAGAAGAGAGAGAGAGAGAGAGAGAGAGAGGCAAAGAGAGAGAGAGAAATCCAGCCAGTCCTCAGCTATTGTTCCATCCACTGTATTCCACCTAAACATGTGAGTGAAGAAATCACATTTTACATCCAGCACAGTGAAGCTAACAGATGACTTTAGCACCCTGCTCTCTTTGCCTGCAATACTATGACAGAAACAAACAAGAACTATTCAGAGGAGCCCAATTTACCCACCAGACCATAATAAATCATAGTAAATGGTTGGTTTAAGACACTATGTTGAGAGGTGGTTTGTTATGGAGTAACATAACTAGAAAGTTCAGTGCCTTTTACTCACTGGGTATTACCCCAAAACAACAAAGGGGCTTCTGTCCTGTAGGGAAAAATTAATGGTGGAAATTCTTATAACATTTTAGATCATTTCCATTAAAAAAATTCTACAAGTTGGTAAATTCAGTAAGATAATGGTTTTTGCAGTTGGGTATAATATAGGTAAAAAAAAGATATGTGCCTAATACATAACACAGTGAGCCTGAGTGGCAGTGGAGGGAGGGAAGAGTAGGTGGAAAGAAACAGGTTAGCTCTGGGTTATTTTGGCTATATATTTTTAAATATATATTTTCTACTTGAATATATTCACAATGATTTTCAGGTTAATTGAATGCCAGGCACCAGTCTTTAGACCCTTTACATAGTATCAGCCTCACAAAAATTAGATGAAGTGAATACTACTTTAACAGATAAGAAAACTGTGTCTCAGTTTGTGTCTCAGTGTGACTAAATTACTTGCCCATCCAACTAGTCCATGTATGTGATCGAGATTTGAATCTTGGCCATCTGACTCCAGAGCCCAGTTTCTTAGCACAGTATAATAGAAAAGATAAATATAAATAAAATAATCATACAAAAATGTATCTAATTACAAACTGTGATAAGCACCATAGAGCAAAGTTCAGGATCCCATGATCATAAAACAAATGGCTAACTCAGTCTGGGAGATTGAAAAGGCTGTTGAGAGGGAGGCACCTGGGGTAATAGGACCAGACACTGGGTTTATAAGTGGCCCATAAACCAGCAAAGGACAGAGGTGAGAATGAGTGTATGACTGGCTGTTGGTCAAGTGTGTTTCTGACAACTGAGATTTGTAAGGCCCCCAGAGATGACTTTTCTGGGAGTTACCAGTTTGGTGAAGATGGAGTGTCACAGTCTAGAGGAGTCAGTGGAGAGCCACTAGTGGAGAAGAAACGAGAGCTTAGTTATGCTTCCTTTTATTTAGAAAAAACATCTTCAGAAATTGTCCAACCTGGTGATCTCCATTTACCCTCCTCCTATCCCTTGTTGACACACTCCCTTAAGTTTATGTCCCTATCATTCCTTGAAAATGCTTAGCTACCAATGACTTTGTACTGCCAAATATTTGGTCAATTCTCAGTCATCATTTTTTCAAGCTATCAGCAGTATTTGACAGAGCTGATCATTCCTTCTTGAAGCAATTTCTATGATCAATTGCCTGAAGGATTGATTTAGAGACAGGGTTTCACTCTGTCACCCAGGTTGGCATGCAGTGGTGCGATCATAGCTCACTGCAGTCTCAATCTCCTGGGTTCAGGGGATTCCCCCACTTCAGCCTCCTGAGTAGCTGGCATTGTAGGTGTGTACCACTGTGCCCATATATTTTTTAAATTTCTTGTAGAGGTGGGG